CAGGGGTTTGATCGGAGTAAAATGATGAAACCGTTCAGAAAATTCTCAAAGCGGATTGGTAAATCAGAGGATCGGTTGAATAAGGAGAAGCCTATCTTCATCAAGCGCAGTATCCCTTTTTTTTTTATATAACATTTCGATTGTTACAAATGCAAGTTTTTTTAATCAATTCCACTCTTTTTTCTTTTTGGGTTTTATTTGTTTTCACATGATCCTGATTTTAAAGATATATACTTGAAGAAGAAATTCAAAAAGAAGGTTAAAGATCATGGCATATTCTGTTCTTGTTCATCGTCTTCTGATTCTTCAACACTTTGTGGCACTGATTGCAATTGTGGGTATGTTTCATGAAATAACCAGTGTTGTAGTTGGTATGTTTCTTGATGATGTTAAACTATGATCACATTTCGTTGTATAGGATTCTACTCTCAAGTTGTTCATCTAGTTGCGAGTGTCGAAGTGAGTGTACCAACAAGCCGTTCCAACAACGACATATCAAGAAGATGAAGTTGGTTCAGGTTGGTATATATTACAAGTTTGGGTTATAAAGAAGTGAATTTGTTTAGGGTAGTTGAATAAGTTGTTTCTTGTAGACAGAGAAATGTGGATATGGGATTGTAGCAGATGAAGATATCGAATCAGGAGAGTTTATCGTCGAATATGTTGGCGAAGGTGATGTGATTTATTTAGTCGCTTATATGCTTACTCTGCCATTTATTTATCTACTTAAGTCCATTTCCCACTGTAGTTATCGATGAAAAGATTTGTGAAGAAAGGCTATGGAAGTTGAAGCATAAGGTGGAGACAAATTTCTATTTGTGTCAGATAAATTGGAATATGGTGATTGATGCTACTCACAAGGGGAATAAATCAAGATACATCAATCATAGCTGCAACCCTAATACAGAGATGCAGAAATGGTTTGTGAAATTGGATTATAATTATCTCTCTTTTCGCTTTTCTTGGGGTTCAATACAATTGATCAAGAGATCTTTGTTCTCATTAGGATAATTGATGGAGAGACAAGAATCGGCATCTTTGCTACGCGTTACATAAACAAAGGAGAGCACTTGACCTACGATTACCAGTAAGAACATTTTCCTTTCATCACAACAATACCTTAGCTTATGCATTCTTGAAAATCATTGGCTATTATTATTAAGTACTTAATAACAGTGTGTAGATGTGAGACTAAGAAATATAGCAGGTTTGTTCAGTATGGTGCAGATCAAGATTGCTTCTGTGGTGAAGTGGGTTGCAGAAGAAAGCTTGGTGCAAAACCTAGCAAAACTAAGAACTCAACCTCTCATGTAACTGTGAAACCAGTGGCATGTAAAGTGACCCGGAAAAGTCCCAAGGTAAAATAGAAAATGAAATCTATCTTTCATGTCTCATGATTATTCTTTGCTACTTTTAAGTCAACTTCAGTTTAACTTTTTTAGTCATCTTTATAAACACCCTGTGATTTGGCATGCTAACCGGTCAATCTATTTGTAGGGAGGAAAAAATCGAGGCAGACACGCCGCCGGTTAGTATCGATTCTTTGGCTCGATTTTTCGACAAGTTTCTCAATTCAGAGGTTAGAAAAAGCAATTTGGATGCGTCAGGACAATCTTGGAACAATCATGGCCAAAAGAGGATATGTTTACATAGCTGCATTGGTGTGGTGATCTGGTTAGAACGTCCGATGAACCAGAGGTATAAATCTATATTACAAGACTGAGATGCATTTGCTCTGCTTCTCATTAAGGTGCAAGTTCTTGACTGTATAGTATTATCTTTTTGACATTTTCAGGTGTTTTGGCATCATTAGAGAATTTGATGAGTTTTCAAGAAAGCACTTGGTCATGTACGAGGATGGTGTTACAGAGTTTATCGATATGTCCAGAGAAGTTTGGAAGTTTGTAACTCTTTGATAATTGCTTCAAGATTGTATTTTCTGATTTCATTGTACAATCCATACCTTTTGACTCCTCCTAAATTGTAGAAAACCATTGTTAACCGGGCTGTAGAATGCTACTCACAAGGGACTTGTTTTATGTATCCATCTCGAATGAGCATGTGGATGGATGGAATCTTTGTGTTGTATGATTAAACCGGTGTTTTGGCTAAGTGCTGAAAATCTCTTACCCGGTTTATTAACTAAAGTAATCGCCATACTTGCTTCGAAATCGAATGTTAAACCAAACACCGGTTAGTGTTCGTTGATTCTCACGCGCCAGTGACCGACACTGGATTGGCCTTGCCGGTGGTAGGTAACGTGGGCCGTACCTCACCTACCTAACTAATTAAGTAATTAGTACATTTATGCTTTTTTTTGTTTTTACATAAAAACTTGTGTTGAAATAGTAAAATGCTTTAATTTGTAGCTCAACTAAACTATTCAACATTAATAAAAAGAAGAATGGTTAATAGATTTTATTAAGAAAAAAATTAAAAAATGTTTATCAAATAGTCAATTATCACAAATATTACACAGACTAAAATCAGTAAAATATTATTTTTCTAATTATGTCCATATATTTTTCTAGCAATTTCAGAGAAAAATATAGTGATATAAATTCTTTGACGTAAAATTTGGAAATTTGTTTCTCTAATACAAATATTTTATCCTTTTTTGATAGATTTTCAATT